TTGGATTGTAGTTATTATTATGAATGGAATTGTTTAGAAAATTTATCTTTACCATTTTTACGTATATTAAAAGCTAGTAGAGTTCCAATTAAAATTTTAACAAGTTTAATAGAAAATACAAGTGGAAAACTTAATGAAATAAAAATTGATTATATATTTCATGATGAAATTAATAATGAAAGAATTATTCAAACAATTTATAATAATTGTCCAAATCTTAAATATCTTAAATTAGTATTAAGAAATATTAATATTTTAGAATTTGAAAAATTATTAATAAATTGTCAATATTTAGAAGGTTTATTCATTCTTATTAATAATATTGAAGATGAATTTAATTTAGAAAAATTATTTGAAATATTAACTAATTCTTCACCAATTGGTTTATTTAAATTTAAATTTAGTATTTATTCTGATACAATTTTTAAATTAGAAACTTTAAAATTATTTTTTGATAATTGGGAAGGTAGACATCCAATGTTATTACAATTTAATAAGATTGGTTATATAGAAGAATATACTAATTTAATTGAAATTTATAAATCTAAAAAAATAGTAAAAAATTTTGATAATTTATTTTATGGTCATATATATGAAGATTTTGAATGGGTTTGTAAGAGGGTTAATTAAGGATATTATTTTTTTAGAAATTGTTTTATTGCAAAATAAATATAAGGAAAATATTTTTTTAAAATTGAATATTTATATTTACAAAGTAACGATGTACGTGCGTTTTGATGTAGAATATTAGAAGACTAACGGCGGTCAAGAATCGATGCCATAATGTTCATTCACCTAAATACAAAATTAAAAGGATCTAGTGACAGATTCGTGGTGATGATCATGATAATACACGGCACTTGGTTAAAGGAACGAACGTAGCGACGTAGCGTGCTCACGTGACCTAAAGGTTCGTGATCACCAATGAATTTATTTTTTTTAAAAAAAAAAAATCGTAAATTATACTAATAATAAAATTATCTATTTTTTTTGTATGCAATAANGAGTTGTAATACTAAAGAATGTCGATCTTTCCAATTATCAAAGAAAAATTTCAAAAATTCTAATTTAATTGGTTTATAACAAAAACTGAATTTAAATCTAAATAAACTTGTTGGTGATGTTTCAGTTAATATTTCAAATAAATTATCCCAACCAAACGTATCTACCATATTACTAATAATAAATAAACCACTTAAATTTCTACAATTAACTAATAAATTTTTTAATTCAAGAATATTTCTATTTCTTAACATTAATTTAAGATATCTAAGATTAGGACATTTCTGATAAATTGCTTGAATAATTCTCTTATTATCAATCTCTTCATGAGGTATATGATCGATTTTTATTTCAATGAGTTGACCACTTGTACTTGCAATTAAACTTGTTAAAGCACAAATTGGAACGCCCTTAGCATATAAAAATTGTAAACAAGGTAAAGATGAATAATTTAAACAATTCCAAGGAAGATTTTCGTATGAATTATCCAATTCTAATCTTTTTAAATTAGCAAAAGATGAAAGAACTTTTGTAACAAGTGGTTTAGTTGATATCTTAAAATTTTCTATAGTATTTGCGTGTCTTATTAATGAATTTTCAAGAATTTTACAAAATGATTCATTGACATACAAACACTTATTTATAAAACTTATTTTAAATAAATTTCCTGCAGATTCGATTAATTTAACGATTTCATAATTATTATCATTCCCTTCAATAATAAGTTCTAATTGTTTAATTGATTTGCAAGTTTCTATTAATCCAAATAAAATATTATTATTTATGTTAGTATGACAACTGAGGAATTCAATTTCTGAAAAACAACTTTCGGTTCCAGGAATGAGACGTATTTGACAATCAAGTTGTTGAGGTATATAAAGGGTTTTATAATTTGCGTTTCCGTTAATAAAAAGGTTGATTATTTCACTTGTAATAATTGATATTGAAGATTTTTCTTGTACAAGTTCAACGTCAATTATCCTTTGGATTTCATTTAAATTTAAATGTCTACAGAAACTAATATAGTTAAATAAAGAATTTTGATATGATTCTATCAAAAAATCAAAGTGTTGACCTAAATTATTTCTGGATTCTTTTGATAAATGAGAAATAATCACGTTTAATAAGGATCTTTCCTTTCCATTCTTTAAACGTTTCCAAGGATCTTTCCATAAAATTGGAACGGTTGATTCGCACCAAGTTTTATTGACTAAAAGACATGAATAAAGAGTATTATCATCGTCTTGTAACTCTTCGAATATTAAATAAAGAATGTCATTATTTAGGTTTGACATTTTTTATTAAAAAAAAAAAAAAAATTATTTTATCGTTATTTATTTATTTTTTTTGATGCATGATATTAATTATATCGTGATTATGCAGGGCCTTTTTTGTTTACCTGTTACGTACCACATTATATTTATCTATGATACCAATGTTGTTTTGAATTTAAACGTCACTGATCATAATAATAAATAATTTTTTTTTTTTAGAGTCCAAATTCTTTATGGTAATTTGGCGTCGATCTCTTGGCGTAAAAAGCGTATGATAGAAACTTAAATGATGGAAATTTCCGAATGACATCTCCTCATAATTCCGGCTAAAAGATCTGCATGGCTTTTTTGGGTGAAACGGTATCCGGCATTAAAGAATTATGTAACGACTAATATATATTGTAATTGTGTAACGCGGAAGATCCACCTAGACTGGGTCTAGAATGTCTAAAATGAATTAAAAATATATACATATCTGTGAAACTATTAATTGTGTAACATGAATGGTCTAGTAATCAACGGAAGAAAATTTAGGATATTATGGATTAATGGATATTAAGGGACTTTTTATTCGGATCAATCGGACTTTTGCTAAAAAAATCTTTTTAACATGGATCGATCCGTCAAAGAAAAAAGAAAAAAATTAAATAATAAAATTTTTTTTTATTGTATATGTATAATATAATTTGTATATATATATATATATTGTTTTTTTGGTAAAAATTTTACATAATTTTGAGTACATCAAAAAGGTTTTCTTTAAAAAAAAAGAAAAAAAGAAAAAAAAATGTTTAGAATAAACAGAGACGTACTTCATTTAATATTTCAAGAAATTAAAGATGATAAAAAAACACTTTATTCATGCCTTTCAGTTAATAAAACATGGTGTGAAATGATCATGCCAATTTTATGGAATAATCCTTGGAAATATATAAATGAAAATTGTGAACATCGAAAATAAAAATTATTATTAAATATAATTATTTCACATTTATCAAATGAAAATAAAAAAAATTTAAACAATCAAGGTATTGATTTTTTAACAAAAACCTTTATTATTTAATTATATTAATTTATGTAGACATTAAGACATTAATCAAATTCAATAAAGCTTATCTGTTATGTTTTTATTTGTTTTTATTTTTATTAATAAATTATAAATAAATAATTTTGTTTTAAAATAAATAATTTTTATAATTTTAAAAGTATAAAATCAATTTTCTTTATATTTAAAGGCATAAGAAAATCAACTCTAATAGTATGAAAAATTCTTTTTTAAAATAAATTTTTTACTAAGATAAATATGCAAAAATAGATAATATAAATCACGTGGCTAGATATGGTGAGTTAACGTAAGGTAAAAAAATTTTATCTTACGTTCCGTGCCTTAATTAAGGGAGTAACCTAAATTAGTAATTTTACGTTGCTCACTTAGCCAATTTCCGTTACTTACTTACCTACCTACCGGATTAAATGGACATTGATGTCCGAAACTCCGAATAAACCCTATGGTTAAAACGTATTATTTAGATCGTTATGGTATGATATAGTGTAACAGTTATGGCATGGTTGTTTACTTACATACAGTTGTGATATCAATAGGTACTAGTATGATAACCCATTTACTAATCATATTATGCCTGCTGTTTTGCCATATGTACTGTATACATTACTACTACTAAAGTTACAGATATTGTATGAAATTAAATATATAAAGATCATACTTGTAATAATACAAGGTTGATTGTTAAAAAAGTGTTTAAATTGTGTCCAGCTGATAATTAAAGATAAAGAACTTGAAATTGCTCAACTAAAAGCAAAAATAAGCGGTTTATAAAAATATTATTAATTTACCAAAATTTTTTATGTCTCTAAAAAATGATTGAAATTTCAAAAAATAATGATTCAATTTACACATTACGTACTATATGATAAAATTGTCAAAACTATTTTCTTTATTTACTGTATAAAAATTTATTTGATATCATGCATTTATATATATATATACACATATATATATTTTAATATGTGCAAAAAGTTGCTATATAAATTTATGAAGTAATTTCCTGAAACTTGATAATTATAGAACCCTCCTTTTACAATAATAAAGTCATTCTTCACAATTATTTAAATTTTTTTACAAATGGATCAAATTCTAATGGTTCATTCAATTGAATTCAACTAATTTAAATCAAAATAAATCAATCGTAACATCAATATTAACTCAATAACAACATGAATTAGATCATATCCATTCGTACCTGTACATTATTGATTGTACAGTACCTTTCACTCCATATCATACCGTAATGTACCATATACTCTTAATCATACTCAAAGGATTATTTTATGTGCTATTGTGATTTCTCAGTATTTCGGTACGACATCATACTTATATATGATTAGTAATACCATATCATATCGTACTGTACTACTTTACTATATACTTATGGTTAAATGGACATTGTCCAAAATAAACACATGTAATCACTACTTATTCTATCACTATTTACGATCTGCATCAAGTCATTTGATCAACCGTACCGCACTTGTTTGTCAAATTTGCACTAGTACTGAATTATCTCTTATCTACGATATCTATGATACGCCTAATTGTGAAAACAATGACCAATCAGTGAATTCGAATTTTACACGTTGTTTACTTGTGAATAACCTGGATAAATAAAACAAATAAATTAACCCTTATTAAAATAAGTCATTCCGGAAAAACATTAATAATATAATCATGGCTTATAAACTGTCCCTAATCTTTGTCAATATTATTATTCTGGTTCTCCTATCAACTTTTGCTTATTCCGCACCATATAATAATACAACTGAACATAATGAAAATGATATAATTAAAGAACAAGATGATAACTTCATTTGTCTAAGTGGGTCAAACATAGCTTGTTGTCCTCAATTGGCGCACCATGTTGCTTCTAAATATCATTCACGATGTGCATCAATTGTTCTAATTAATAAGAGTGGTTATAATATGGTTTTGGACATTATCAATCTTGAAGATGGTCGCTGGGTTACATCGGATGATTATGATGATATTGATATAAATTGTGAACCACACTCTCTTCTAAATGATGAATCTGAAGCTATATCTAGTGTTACAAGTCATTTTCTTGGTGGAATATCGAGTGTTGTTATTTTCACCATAGATGATGATATTTCAAGCAGTTTTTTTATCTCTTGGAATGTTCCAACTATTGGTTCCCCTAAATATTTAATTGAGTTCTTTGATAAATCATCAAAAGATAAATACAGTATTATAACTCAAAAAACCTTTAGAAACACAGTTTTTCGAATTGAAATTCATAAAAGAATTCCTTGGACTTGGTCTATTCTTCCATTGCTTGTGTTTTTTATCGCTATACCTTGCTGTTACATTCCAATGATTATGAAAGAATCAGAATTCAGAGAACGACTGCTTAATTCTACTAGTTGGCAACAAAAATCTTATAATTCTAACGGACAAAGCAATCAATCTTCTAATTCCAACGGACAGGGTTAATAAACAAACTTATAATTCCAACGGACAAGGTAAACAATTTTATAATTCCAACAGAAAAGGCAAGCAATCTCTGATAAAATACATAATCTTCTAATTCCATCATTCAAAATAATCAATATCCTAACACTATCGGTCAAAATAATCAATCTTATAAGTTTTTTTGGAACTGGAATTATCATTATTTTAATTTTATGTTATAAAAAGATTTTTTCAGAAAAAAATATATTGCAGTAACAAGTAGAATCAAATCTTTTGATGAATTTTTTTCAAATTCAAGCCTGACTCCGAACATTGGAAATTGTAGCTATGATCTCAATGATTATATTTAGTAAATTTTAAAGACCAAAATTGTAATAAAATTTGCAAATACTTTTAAAGTAATGAATATCAGACAAGGGTCATTGATAAAAAAAAAGTGAAATAATAAAAAAAAAAATATAAAAAAATATCCTTTGTTCAAATCTTGATTAGATAAATAATGTAATTGTATAGTATAGTATAACATGTATAATATACTGTAATAATACTATTTATTTCTCTTAAATATGAAAATAATTTTGTATGTGAATAAGACATTTTAACTTTAATTTTGGATTGGACATTTTTTCGTCTGACCGCTTAATTGTAATATCGTTAATTTAAAATAAATGATAATAATAAAAAAATAACAAAAATATTAATAAAAAATGCACAAACATTTTTATTCATTTTTATTTTGATCTTTCGTCAGACATATAAGTTTCCGGTTCCTTGTTCCTTATACTAATTATATTTGTATACTTAGGGGCGCCTATCCTGATCAATACCCGAACGGTACGCTCTTTCCGTCGTTCTTTCCCTTCTTTGCCTAGAGTTGAAAAAATTTTTGATTTTATTCTCAGAACGAAGCATGCCAAATTTTATTACTAATCCATCAACTATATATTTCCGATGAATGATACTAGATCGCATTTGGTATTTACGGACTCGTCCAATAATAAAATTTTTCTCATTAATACTTAAAGGATCGTGACATACTAATTATTAAAGAAAATTAAACATATGATATGTAATATATTATAGCATTGGTTTAATGGATAATAAATTAAAAATCATAGAATCAAAGAAAAAAAAATAAAAAGTCTTAATTTAATCATAATTAATAATTTAAAAACTTAAATAATCTGTTATATACATGTATATTTTTTTCTTCCAAACATCCTTAATTGAACTATAATTGATTTAATTGATTAATACTCAATAATTTAAAAACTATATAATCTATCGTATAAATATTACTTTTTTTCTCCAAAACATAACTTAAAATAATATATTTATTAATTTTAACGTAGATTAGCACTTTATAAATTCGTCAATTTTGATTAGCGTAAACGAGAAATAAAAAATTAAACCATATCGAAACGGGTTTCATTGCTAATGTTGGATATGATGGGAATCAACATCTTGTAACTTGATGAATATCACTTACATTTTGGCGATCACATGCCAAGTCATTGGTTTGCGTTGTTATTACATTGTTATCGACATTACTATTATGCGAATCTATGTCCTCATAATTATTGTTGATATGATTAACTTGATGAATATCATTTATATCTTGGTGATCGCATGTCAAGTCATTAGCTTGTGTTGTCGTTACATTGTTTTCAATATTTTCATTATGCGAATCTGTACCTCTATAATTGTTGTTGATATGATTAACTTGATGAATATCATTTGTATTTTGGTGATCGCATGTCAAGCCATTAGCTTGCGAAGTCGTTACATTGTTTTCAATATTTTCATTATACGAGTTCCCATAATTATTATTAAAGTCAACTTGTTGCTGTGATTGGTGAATATCATTTATGTCTTGGTAATCGTACGTCAAGCCGTTAGCTTGTGTTGTCATCACATTATTTCTGATATTTCCACCATACAAATCTGTGTCTCTACAATTATTGTTGAGATCAACTTGTTGCCATGTGTAGGCAAAATTTCTTGTTCTATTTACGTTTTGGCTATCATTACCATGATTAATATCTGTTGTCAAAACAGATTGTGTTACGGGTGTATTATTTACAATACTTCATGAAACGATCCCATTTCTCTATCAGTAATGTGTTGTGAAATATTATTGAAATCAATTTGTTGTTGTGAATTAGTAGTGACATTATGAATAACTCTATTTTGTGGTGCCGCAGATGTTGAAAAAGGATTGATGGATTGAAGGAAACCATTGCCTTGGCTATTGGTGATCGAAACTGCTTGTGTTGTTATTACATTATTTCCGATATTTCCACAAAATGAATTTGCATTTCCATTATTACCTGGTCTTTTGGGAATTTGTTGCGGTATACTATTGAAATTACCTTGTTGTGAACTGGTAACATTATTTGTATAATATCCAACTTCAATTGGTTTAGAGAAATTATTATCAAAATTAGTTTGACTATCCCCTATTGAAATTGTTTGAGTATTATATCCGTAAGGAGAATTTAGGTTTCGATTAGAATTCATTCTTAATTCTCTATTAGAAGTATGATGTTGTGTAAGATGAAAAGGAAGGATTCGTTCCAAATCTTGTTCCAAATTCAATTTTTGATGCAAAGATATTACTTCTTTTCGTTCCGAATTATTTATACCAATATCTATTCCGTATGTTTTTCTGTTCAACATGTTTGCGATCAAAGAATGTGGTAGTATTTCACATGTGATATAATAATTTTCTGTATGATTAATATTATAAAAAAATCCATGATCATAATTGTGGTCATCAAAGAAGTCAGAACCTTGTAAAATAATTTGGCAAGTTATATGATAAAACTTATCATAATTTGGTGCATAATGAAAAAATTTATGTTCATTTATTTGTAACTTTGCGTAATGGATTGAATATCAAAGTTGAATGAAGTGTAACGATAGAGTTACTGAAAGGAGGATAGTAACCGTTGGTTATAATAAAGAATTGTGTTAAATAACAATAAATGTAAAAAATAATTATAAAATAATCTCTTTATTTTTTTAATTTTTTTTTCTTCATAAAAATTTTGCGAATAAAATAGAAAGATAATTTGTAATCTTAATTTAAATAAATTAAATTTTTTATTTTTTTGAAAGATACTGGAAAGGGGAATAGAAGGCTGTTTCTGAAAATATTACGGGAACGAATGGGTACCCTTAGATAATAATATCCTAATATTGATTCATATAAAAAAAGCACAAAAAAATTTTTTTTTATTTCATAAGAATATATTTTAATTTTATCGTTAAAAAAAGTTTTTTAAATTATTTTATGTGGTATTGGAATAAAAAATAAATAATGAAATTAAAATTTTTATGAATTTATAGAAGAATTTTTAAATGTAATTTAACCAATCAACATAAAGTAGCTGCATGATGATCAACAAAAAAGAATTACCAAACCGACTTTTGCTTTGGATAATCATTGATTTGCTAAGAGTTTTTTGTCAATGATGTGTTACAGGGCTGTGTGTGTATTTATAAAAACATTAGCTTGAGCTATACCAAAATCAGCTGAATTCGGCGAAAACTGATGCAGTTGCGTTAGACAACCATTTGAATAGCAAATTTTCTAATAACAAAGGAGTTTCTTTTTTATTTTTTTTAGGAAGCATAACAAAGGAGTTTTTTTTTTTTTTTTTTTNTAGCTTGAGCTATACCAAAATCAGCTGAATTCGGCGAAAACTGATGCAGTTGCGTTAGACAACCATTTGAATAGCAAATTTTCTAATAACAAAGGATTTTTTTTTTTTTTTTTTTTAGGAAGCATAATAAAGATTTTTAGAATAGTTTTTCTCTATTTAAACCATTTGTTTATTTTATTATACATTATTATCTTACTCTTGATTGTCATTATCGGTCATATTCATGGTCATAAGATCGATTATTTGGTTGACTGTAATAATAATGTAAAATTATATAATATTACTAAAATAAATCCAACACACGATCAAGAAGTTGTTTATGCAAAAGGCTGTACTAATATTGAACAGTTAAATCAATTGACCAGCTCGTAAAACCGTCTTTAAAATGGCATTCTTTTATAATCCACCAGACGATTATCAAATTTATCATATTACTTGTGAATTTTTGAACGGTATCAACAATAATGAATCTCTTTCTGATCATACATTCTATTATAAACTGGACGATAAAAACCTTTATAAGATAACTTGTATTTTGATTTCACACTCATTAATTGTTCAATTTTTGAACAAAAAGATGTATGGAATTGAACTTAAACAAGGCGATGAACAACAACAAGAATTTTTGACTTTTAGTAATTATGAACGTAATTAATTTAGAATCTAATTTGAAGGAGTATTTATTAGCGTCGAAACAAATTAAGAAATCGAATATAACTATAATATATTGTATAAGGTAACCTTTATTCTTCTAGGAAAATATATCTTTTTACCTTTATGGGTTACGCCGTTACGGTACATTTTGCCGAAAGCCATTTCGCCGAAAAGGACGTTTCGCCGAAAAATAGGGCCAACATTATGCAGAATTATAAATAACTCAGGCCAGAGATTATTTATGGCTTTCGGCAAAATGTCCTGATACCCTTTTTATGGAATTATTATGTCAAATATTATAGTATACAGCAATTAAACAAAGAGTTTATGCAGTGTGATGCAGTGTGAGTTTCTTACATAAACAAATAAGTATATATTGTTACTCTGCAGATCATATGAATAAGTCTACTTGTTTATATATAATATAATACATTTATGTAATGAATATTAATTTGCCAATTCTCATTATATAGTTGCAAAACGTATGCAAATGTAGGATCAATAAAAATATTTCCTGGATGAAGATCTTTATGAATTAACCCATGAACATGAATATTATTAAGTGCAAGACAAATATCATATATTTTATTTAATCTTTGATCCCATGTAATATTATTAGCAGTTCGTTCAAGATATTTTCGTAAATCGCCATTTTCCATATATTGTAATACTAACGCATAATTGTTAGTAATAGGATCTTGAGTAATTCCAAAACATTTTACTATACACATATAACCACTAACTTCGTTAAGAAAGTTTATCTATAAATATATAATTAAATATTAATTTGTAAATTAAAAAGTAATTTATTTTACTATTTTACGTACCTCATTTAGAAAATCTCCACTTATATTTTTTGAATTATTCAATACTTTTAAAGCGATTTTTATTGTTTCATTTCTTTTCCAATTATTAGAAAATTGACTCCACTTTTCAATTGGTCCATCTTTCCATATAGCTGAATATACTTTTGCAAAACCTCCTTTAGCAATGTAATTAATATTCGTAAATTTATCAGATGAAATCCATTCTAATAATCCGTACTTTCTGCCTATATTTTGATTGTATTGTATCAACTTATCAATAACCTCATTCCTACTGGTCCGCTTATCAAAATCTCTTTGAAAATGTTTAGGATTGCAGGATAAACAACCATCCAAATCCTCATGTATCTTTAGACATTCTTTACATTTTCCAAAATCCATACGTTTTTTTCAATAATATCAATTTCTTTATCATAACAATCACAGCAATAAGAACGAAGTTTACGCCAACAATTATGTACTCTATTATATCTTATATTATTTATAAGAATTTTCTTATTATCTACATAATTTTTCGTGTTTTCAAATTGTTGTATTATTTGTTTAAATATTCCTAAATTACTATTTAATTTAAAATAAACGTTTTTGTAATCTATTAAAATAGATTGTAATTCTTTTAATTCTCTTAATTCTTTCGTTTCTTTTTTGTATACTTTAAAATAAAAATTTTCATAATCTTGTAATTTAGAGGATAATTCTCTCATTTCTTTATCAAAGCACTCATAACAATAATTATAATGATACTTTCTATCACACTTCTCACATAAAATATAATCGAAGTTCTTGTATTTTACTCGTCTATCATCTTCATCTAAATCATAATCTGAAATTCCAATTTTTGATTCTATAAATACATTATTTTCATTAATCCATTTACTAAAATTTTCCAAAAATTGCTTAAATTCATAAAATGAACAACAATCATCATTATTTCCTATAAAACATACTTTACATCTATTAATTATTATTTGATTATTATGATAACAATAATTACAATTATAATATTGCTTTTTTATTTCATTGTTACATTTTTCACATACAATATGACCATAATTTTTATATTTTACTTTTCTTTCTTCTAAATTTAAATTATAATCGAATGTCTCAAAAATTCTAAAATTTGGTCCAAATTTCATATGACTCTTTACAATAACATCAGTTTCTTTATCATGACAATACGCACAATAATAATAGTGTTTATTAATTTCTTGATTACATTTTTCACATAAAATACCATCAAGATTCATATATTTTGCTCTTCTTTCTTTTAAATTTAAGTTATAATCTAAAATTCCAAAATTTGATCCAAATGTCATATGCCTTTTTTTATTAGTATCAGTTTCTCTATCATAACAATAAGTGCAATAATAGTGATGTTTTTTAATTTCTTTATTGCACTCTTCACATAAAATGCCATCAAATTTCCCATATTTTGCTCTTCTTCCTTCCAAATCTAAATTATAATATGATGTCTTAAATATTCCAAAATTTGATTCAAATTTCATATGCCCTTTTTTATTAGTATCGGTTTCTTTATCATAGCAATAAGTGCAATAAATATAGTATCTATTGATTACTTTATTACACTCTTCGCATAAAATGCCATCAAATTTCCCATATTTTACACTTCTTTCTTCCAAATTTAAGTTATAATCTAATGTTTCAAAAATTCCAAAATTTAATCTAAGTATCATATGCTCTTTTTTATTAGTATCAGTTTCTTTATAATAACCATAACAATAAGCGCAATAAATATAGAGTCTATCAATTTCATTATTACACTCTTCACATACAATGCCATAAAATTTCCTATATTTTGCTCTTCTTTCTTCCAAATTTAAGTTATAATCTGATGTCTTAAAAATTCCAAAAATTGATCCAAATTTCATATGAAGTTTTTTATTATTATCAATCTCTTTATAATAACAATAAGTACAATAATAGTATTCATTAATTTTATTATTACACTCTTCACATAACTATGTTTTGAATATTTATATTTTGCTCTCCTTTCTGTCAAACCTAAGTTATAATCTGATGTCCTAAAAACTCCATAATTTGATCCAAATTTCATACGAAATTTTTTATTGACATCAGTCTCTTTGAAATAACAATAAGTGCAATAAAATCTATAATAATCTACTTCTTTATAACAATCTTTACATAAAACATAATTTGAATTCCTGTATTTTACTTTTCTTTCTTCCAAATTTAAATCATAGTCTGATGTCTTAAAAATATTGCAAATTGAACAGCCATAAGAAGTACTTGATGTAAAACAAGATTTACATATTCCATGATTCATACGATTTCGCTCATTACAATCGGTTTCCTTATTATAACAATTATAACATACAAAACTAAACTTTTCAATTTCTTGACTACAATCTTCACATAAGACACGATCATATTTCTTAAATTTCAACTTTCTTTCATCTAAATTTAAATCATAATCTAATATTTTAAAAACTCCAAATCTTGATTCAAATATATCATATTTATTAATAAGTTGGATGTTTTCTTCAATATTCTCTTCTAACGACATGATTCCAACAAGTGTTTTCAGCCTTATCGTATTTGAACTTTAATTTATACCCAATGAATAAGGCCGTAATCTTATTTTTATTCACTTGATATAATTCTTAATTCAATAATAATTGACTATATATAAGAATGACTATTTTTTAAATATTTTTAACAATTCACAGTTTATTTATAATAATATTTCGTATTATTAATTGGAATAAAACCATAAAAAGGGGTTCATTTCCCGACAAACGTTTCACCAAAAGGGTTATTTCGCCAACAAACGTTTCACTGACAAACGTTTCACCGACAATCATTTCACCGACATAAAAAATAAATATTGAATATGAGATATTTTATTATATAAACTTTTATTTAGACATTTACTTAGACCTAATAATTAAGTATTGATACTTACTTCCATCTTAGACGGGTTAGTAGATAGAATAACATATAGTTATATCTATTGTATTTTTTTATCTTTTTATATATGTAATTTATTATAAATTTCATTAAATAATAAAAAGCGCGTTACTAGCAATAATAATAATAATAATAACAAGAAATTGACTTATTAGCAGGGGAGCTGCCATTCGATTCATTCATTGTGTTATAAGATAATAAGAACCATCTAAAAGAGGAAACCAAATAGTAATGCTTTATTCACTAGTAAATTATTATTTAAAGAAAAAAAATTATTATTAAAAAAAAAAATCTATATAACTAAAAAAATTTGTCCGACGTTTGGATTTATAGTCTCTATGTAAATAATTTGGAATTGTGTAACTTGAAATCCCATGCCATACAACAAGCCTCTTTCTGATCTATTTATGGTCAAAACTATTCGATCCGTGTGCATTCCAATCAACTAATTCAATTTTAGTTAACTGTTAATAAAATTTTGGAAAATTATTTGTCCGATTTTTTTTTTTAAAAAAAAATTTCAGAATTTTTTTCGTACTTATTTTTTTTTTTCAGATTCCTTTTTTTCGAAAATTTCCCTTTTTTTTTAAAACTGATTTCCTTTTTCTTTCCCCAAATTTTTTTATTATATTAAATATATTTACAAAATTATTATTTTTTTAAAAAAAATCAATATAACATATCAGATATAGGAAATTGACCGACGTTGATAAAAAGATGAGTAAGATTTTTCAATTAAATTGAACGCTGGATAAATAGTTTGATTTTCAAATTCATAAAAATCAATTAATTAATTATAAAATATGTAAAAATGTCAATTTTTTTTGAATTGTTTATTTAATAATAGATTATTATAACTAAATCCATATCCGAAATTCTCTAAATAACTACTAGATTTTTGAATAAAGATTTTAATTCAAATGGTTTAGTCAAATTAAGTACCAAAAGAATAATAATAAATGAAATGAATAGATTCTAATACGTTTAATTATTTGAGTTGGTTATAAGTTTAAGATTGACGTAATATAAAATAAGAAATAATTATAAAATTTATAATTAATTAAAAAAAAATATTTATAGTATTTTCATAATATTAAAGTTTTTCGAAAATGCTTCTAAAAAATTAATCAAAAAAATGAGGGTAAATGAAAAAATAGGGAGATAAAAGGGAAACGAAGAGGGAGTGAGGGAGAAACGAAATGGAGCAAAGGGAGAGTGAAAGAAACAAAAAGAACGAAAAAGATCAAGTAGGAATGAAAAAAAATGAAAAAAATGGAGGGGATGAAATGGAGCAAGAGGGAATTAAAAAAATGAAAGGAACAAAGGGTAGTATAAAGATAAAAGAACAAAAAAGATGAAGCGGGAATGGAATAAAAATGAAAGGAACAAAGAGTAATGTAAAGGAATGAAAAGATGAAGAAACAAAGAGGAAATAAAAACAACGGAAAAAATGTAGGAAGGGAAGAATAAAAAGAGCAAAAGAAATGAAAAGACAAAAAGAAACAAAAAATGGAGAAGGGGCGGAAATGAGATAAACAGGGGGACCAAGTAAAAACCAAACCCATAAAATTAAAAGAATAGATAAAGTTAGTAGGGAACGGAAATTACATGTAATAAATAAACAAAAACAAAAAAATAAAAAACATACCTTAGTAGTTACAAAGAAGTACATTAATTAGCCAATAAAATTTAATGTACAAATTTAATAATGAGGTGATATCACCGGGTAAATTATATAGGTTAAATCACCCAAGGTGAAAAATTATTAAATCGCCAAATCGCCCAGGGTGAAAATACACTCAAACGTCAAATCATTAATATAAACTATATTATTGTAAATATAATTTAATAATGTTATTTATTATTTTTTGCTAACTAATTATTACCATATTAAATTCCTAATTATAAACAAAAAACTACTGTAACCATCTTTAATTTACCTATAATCTAGATTTTTTTGAAGATATAATAATATTATTAAGATTAATCACTTTTTTAAGAACGATAAATCAGCTGTAAATAGTGATATAGTGATCTGCAAATTCGTATATAGTACACCATAAAGTTATTTAAAAAAATAATAATAAACTAATGCTAAATTGTACTATAATCTAAATTTTTGAAGACATAATAATATTTATTTTTTATATTTAAAAAATGGAGTAAAATTATTATTAAAAAAAAAAATCAAAAAATTATTAATTAAGAAAAAATTCATTTTGAAAATTTTGAAAGTCATTTTTCATTTTTTAATTTTATGAATTCTTTGATATAAATTTTTTTTGATTTTTTTTTTTTCAACAAAAAAAGAGTTTTTTATGAAAAGAGAAAAAATTAAAGCAAAAATGGAAAGTTATTTCCTTTATTAATATAGTTGCGTCTATTTTTGTTATGAAGATCAAGGAAGTAGTATTTACTGACGAAATTAATTTAGCTGGCCTTATTAGTCATTTTTATTACTTAATGGAAATTAATATAGTTATTGTCCGAAGCATAGCGTAGGACTATACTGTTTGAACTCGATATCATGCAATGTCCGTCTGTCACGCCGCGTATATAACCAATGAAATTTTAGGATCAGTGTAACAGATAAACGCGTAAATAATTTATTAATTATAAAATAGTTTAAATAGTTTATTATATAGTATAATGGTACTATATATAATAAATTTTTTAAACTAATGTTTTTATGGTTTTTATGTATTATAAATAAAAATTTGAAAATTAATATCTCTTTTGCTAATAAACCGTTGCTTTTAAAGTGTCAGTCTATAAATTGTACATTCAAAAAAAAATTAATAAATAATCCATAAAAAATAATTAAACAATTTGATAAATAGCAAAAGCAAATGAACAGATAACAAACCTGTCAACACTTCGTAAATGTAAATCCAGAGAAAATGAAACTGTTAAACATCATGAAATACGCCATTCAAAAGATCGAGAAAATAAACAAATGAAAAGGTCACCAGAAACACCAGATCAGCATGACGTGTGGCTGAGCAGAGAATGTAAATGAAAGAGTAGTAAAAGAACGAGAGGTGTTTTAGAAAATAATAATGACCACATCAATAGGCAGAATGAAAACCAGAATCGGGATGCTGTCAACCAGCAGCTTTCTGAAACTGATCGAGAACTTCTGTATAAGTTTTAAACAGAGATGAATAAACTTAAACATACTTTTTGCTTTAAATGTAACGAACGATTTCCATCCGTTGAACTTATAAAAGGAGAATGTTGTCGACGCTGCTATAGTGATAACAGGAAGGTGACAATACAGGGAACAATACATTGAAAAAGTTTTTTGCGGATAATAATATGGACCTGGGTGAAGTTCCAGAGGAATTAAAAGGATTAACAGAAATAGAAGAAATGTTAATTGCCCAGATATTTCCCATCGCTTTGGTATATTGCCTTCACAAGATGTATTAGAGTTTGCAACGCACCTCCTCGAAATCCATCATTGCTTGATATTCTTGTCATATGGCATCAGTCTTCAAATGGTTTGGCATTCAAAAATTTTTCAACTATACATTTTTTAACTTTAGTGATACATTTAACTATACATTTTTTAGTGAAGCATTTTTTTAGTGATACATTTTTTAGTGATATATTTTTTTAGATGGTCATGTGAAGAATATAACGCTTCGGACACTCCAACAGTTCCTGTTACCTAGTTATTTTATTTATTTTGATAACTTAAATTTATTTTATATATTATTTTTTATTTATTTATTTATTTGATTTTTCCTTTGTGATTTCTATCTTCCGTGTAAAAAATGGAGTGAAAGTAAATAAGTGGGACCGATCTTGCGAAAATGTGAGCCTTACTATTGTATAAAATAATAAAATTATAGTTTCATGTTGTACAGCTCCGGTTCATCTAGTCCCAGCAACTCCAAAAATTAAGGTGCCAAATTTTACTTTAAAGTCACGTGATAAATTAGCCAGCATTAAGAAATTAAGCATAATTTTGGCCAGCATTAAGAAAAATTTTATTTGAGATGTCTTTTATATTATCAGTTATAAGATTTTCTTTAATTTGTGATATAGGATGCTGCGACAGGATGAAAGTGGTGGCATTTTTGGAATAGTGTGCAAAAATTTTTTGTTGCCTATCTTATAGAAATTCATGAAATTTTACCATAAATAGCAGAAAAATTTCATATACAATATTATGAAATTTTGCCAGATAAAATTAATTTTTTACAATGATTGCAATTTTATTTTTAAATTGTAATCTATTAAAATACGATAAGTTTATTACGATAAATATAATTTTCAAGAAGTAGAAATAGGATAAAAAATTTTCTGAGACTAGATGACGGGAGCTATACAATGGAAAAATGAAATGAATATAAATACAACAAGTTGGAATCATCAAAAGCATCATTAAAAGTATTTTAATTTTCTTCATTAATTTTGCAATGAATTTGATTGATCTTTGCATAAATTACAGAATGAACACTTCGTTCAATATTGGAGATTTTAATTGATTGGCATTATAATAAAGCAGGTGTAATCCATGTTTTGAATAATTGAAAAAGAAATTGATAATGAACGTATCACTTACATTTCTATTTTTGGCCAAAATTATCAATAATTCAATTCAGGCAGCACTATGACTTTGGCCCGAATTACTGACGATCAGTAACGACGCAAAAAAAAGATTTTTTTAAAATTATTCTGGGACTTTAAATTGGATATACTGTATCATCAAAATTCATTTGCATTTAATGTGATTTGTACAGAAACTAATTTGATATAGTATTCTTTTTTTTTAATTTTTCGTGTTTTAATTTTATTAATACATATTTTTATGTATATGATACAGCATACGTGCGTTATTTTTTTTTATACTTCATATTAAATTAATTACTTTTAATCTACAGTATATAAATTTATAAATTATATTACATTTTAAAAATTTTATCATAAAATCTGAATCTATTCCGAAGTTACGGCATTATCATAATTCTTGCCGACATTATTTGTTAATCCCGTGACTTTATTAATGTTCATTTATAATGATGATTGTTTCCATAACTATCATTGATGAATGATCATTTAAGCTAATTACAAATATTTCATATGTGAACCCTATATAACCTTCCATTTTTGTTACTTATATTGTTTCAAACAAAAAGTAAAAGGTTAAATGAAATTATAAAAGGAAATAATAATTGAAATGCACAATAATAAATATTTCCGTAATTAGATAAGCATTTCTTTGTTATTTTTAATGAAAATGCCTTTTATACAAATAAGAAAAAAATTTTTATTTATGGAATTTTTCAACTCCGGATAATTACGCCATTAATTTCGGGATTTCGATAATTTTCAAAATATTTGTGTTATTGCATTTACTTTATTTGGTATACTAACATCAATTATCTACACTCTTAAACGCCAAGAATAAACTATCCCTAAATAATAATATTTATTAATAAACAAAAAAAATATACAGATAAAAGAAATTAAATATTTTTTATTTTAAGGAATATTTTTAGCTCCGTATTATTGCGTCATAATTTCGGTTTTTTCGATTTTGAAAGAGATATTTTCAAATGTTGCGTACAATAAAACTTTATTTGGGTATACTAATAGTACTTGCATCGATTAACAGAACTTAAATCACACTTTTATATATCATAGCGCCTCTTTTGATCTTTTCAGGGTATTCGTGAAATGTTCCTGATTGATTTATACGGATAAAAGAAATTATTTATGGAATATTTTAACTCCGTATTATTGCGTTATTGCGATTTTAAAGAGATAATTTTCAAATGTTTGAATCTTTATTTGGGTATACTAATAATACTTGCATCGATTATCTGAACTTAAATCACACTTTTATACATCATAACGCCAAGCTAATGACAATGAACCATCCTTAAATAATTATTAATAAACGAAAAAGTATTCTAAACAAAAATAAAAATAAATTAACCGTAAATACACGAATCTCCTACGTTGACCACCTATCTTTAATAAAGATTGGCCGCGTTTATGTCATCTCCCATCATAATATTCAAAATATTTTTATCTTTTTATCATATATCTTGATCTTTCAGGGTATTCGTGAAATGTTCCTGATTGATTTATAAGGAATATTTTTAGCTCCGTATTATTGCGTCATAATTTCGGTTTTTGCGATTTTAAAAGAGATAGTTTTCAAATGTTGTGTAAAATAAAACTTTATTTGGGTATACTAATAATACTTGCATCGATTATCCACACTCTTATACATCATAGCGCCACTTTGATCCTTTCAGAAATGTTCCTGATTGATCTATACGGGTAAAAGAAATTATTTATGGAATATTTTAACTCCGTATTATTGCGGTTTTTGCGATTTTAAAGGGATAATTTTCAAATGTTTGAATCTTTATTTGGGTATACTAAATAGTACTTTCATCGATTATCTGAACTTAAATCACGCACGCATATCATAACGCCAAGGTTAATGATAATAAACTATACTTAAATAATAATATTTATTAATAAACGAAAAAATATTCTAAACAAAAATATAAATAAATTAACCGTAAATACGAATCACTTACGTTGTTCACCTATCTTTAATAAAGATTGGCCTATCGATAAGCGTTTATGTTATCTCCCATCACGATATTCAATTGATCTTTCAGTATTCATGAAAATGTTTCTGATTGTACAAATTAAATATTTTTTTATTTATGGAATATTTTTAACTCCGTATTCTTGCAGTTTTTACGATTTTTAAAAGAGATAATTTTCAAATGTTTGTGTTAAAAATAAATCTTTATTTGGATATACTAAATAAACACTTGCATCGATTATCTGAACTTTAAATCACACTTTTATACATCTAACGCCATAAATAAACTATCATTAAATGATAATAAACGAAAAAAAATAAATCAACCGTAAAAATACGAATCTCTTACGCTGTCCGCCTAGATTGGCCTATCGTTGATCTTCGGGTATTCATGGAATGTTACTTCTAATTTGATTAAAAATAAATGTTTGTTATTTTTTGGAATATTTTGACTCCGTAATAATATTACGCCATTAATTTCGATTTTTGCAGTTTTAAAAAGGATAATTTTCAAAATATTTGAAAAATTTGAAATATTTGGATTAAAATCTAATATATTACGTTACTTTATTTAGTATATTAATAATAATATCCGCATCGGATTATTTTAAGTAAATATTTTACGCCAACTCCAACTTAATAAACTATTCTTAAATAAATGAAAGAATATTTTTAAAAATTAAAAAAAATAATCCCTTACATTGACCACCTATCATTGATTGAAAACTATCAATGTTATATCCAATCATAAATAATCAAAAAAAATTTTTACATCTTTTGATTATATATTTTAATCTTTCAGGGTATTCATGACGGAAATGTTTCTGATTATATCTATAAAGATATAAAAAAAAAAATTAAATGTTTGTTTACGCAGAGATAATCTTCCAAAATATTTGTTTTTTAAAATCAAATATACACATTACTTTATTTAGTATATTAATAATAATACCCGCATCGGATTATCTGAACTTTAATTCTTTTTATATTTCATAACGCTTAGTTAATGTCAATGAATTATCCTTAAATTAATAATACTCACATACATCGGATTATTTTTTCATAATGCCTAGTTAATGTCAATGAATTATCCTTAAAATTAATAATACTCACAACATCGGATTATATTTCATAATGCCTAGTTAATGTTAATGAATTATCTTTAAATAAAACAAAGTATTTTCAAAATTGGAAATAAAACAAAGAAACTAAAATAAATCGACAATAAAAATTTCCACCTATCATTATTTTACAAGATATTTATTTTTTCAAATTAAAATTTAATAAAAGTAATAAAAAGTTCCCAATGCCACTTTAGTAAATAAAATATGCAAGCGCGGTGAAGACCTTAGATTCAGAATTTCAGATACGTCGTTTGGATGAATATCAATGATACAATTATTCATTATCGCAAATAAAAATATTTCTATTATGCTTTTTCCTTATTCGCCATTGATGTATGTGGAACAACAAAAATTGCTTTATGAAGGAATGAAGGACTTCCATAAATAGAAATTATACAATGAAAATTTACACAATTACGCATAAATAGTTATTTAGGCTTCAAGTTGTATCACCTGACCTAGTCAAATGCATGATCGACACACATATGAATGAAAAATGGAAGTTAATTCGCACGGTATGACCGCGCAGACTTTGTTCCGATATCTATGTAAAAAAAGACCTCTGGGAACAGATCTCAGATACGTTATCACAACGTACCAATGAGAAATTTTCACCTCCGCAATGTGTGTGTAAATGGAAAAATATCAAACAAGATTGTAAGGTAAGATCTTTTTTTTTTTTTAAAAAAAAAAAAAAAATTAATTGCGATTTTTGATAAATTTATTATTTAGCGCCTACAATATTCGTTGTAAATTATATATCAAATAAATTTAATTACTAGTAGTAATTCATAATAATTCTGAAGTAGTATTGTTGAAATTAATTTCTATTACTAATAAGAATATAAAAGAAAGAAAAGTTTATAAATAAATAAAAGCATGATCTATATTAGTTGTACGATAATATGGATACCACGGTATTGTACTTATATTGATTAGCGTCTCTTCGCGACGTTGACCATGTAAATACCGCAGTATAATATCTATGAAATTATATAATTTTTAGTAATAATCTTAGTAATTTTTACGTAATAAATAATCATTGTAATTTGTAAACCTACGTGAACTTTCTATAATAAATTTGTCTTCATATTATTTAGTATTCAGTTAGTGATTTATTGTGGTGGTTCGTGATGGCATATTTTTGTAACATAATGCGTCAGCATCTATTACCATCGCCCATTGGTATGTTTTCAGGAACAATACAGCGATATTTTTACAAAATTATAGGTACTAACAGAAGAGGGAGGTAGTTATTGTTAAGGCGTTACCGCTGGCTCGACGATGTCGTAAAGCGAGTTTTTACGCTTGAGTTCAAAACGTCATCGTATGAGCGGGACTACTGACGATCCAAAATCATTCATGTAAGCATTTTGCTTAAACTTTTTTAACGCAGAAATTCATCAAATTTTTCTGCGACGTGCATTGTATAGGTTCATATTTATACTAAAAATTATAATTCTAACGGACTTAAATGAATGATATTTCATCTTTCGAAAATTATGAATGACTTTTGAAAGTAAATCAAATAAATCGTCAAACATAAAACATAAGCATAAAATGAATTGTATAGATCAGTAAAATAATTGTAAATTTGACACGAACAATTATCCAATGATAATGGATTAAAAAATTATCAGAGTTGACAAATTGACCAATTGGAACAGCTAATTATAAAAAAAAAATTGCATCATATGCGTGCCAACTGGTCAAGAAATTTTATATGCCCAGTCAAAAAAAATAAAATTACTGAACATGTACTATTAAAATTTGCCAACACTGTTTTTTTTTCATATATTGAGTTTTATAATTCTTTCCAGCCGAGTATAAAATTTCTTAATTTGCCTGTTAGTCGATTTTTTTTTTTTTTAGTAATATACATATATGTGTATATATATATACAGTATATATATTTTTACATATTTCTTAATTTGTTGCAATTTCAACTGAAATTGAAATTCATTCTCAAATTGGAATTCGAAAAAAAAATAAACGTTAAATTAACAAATTCCAATTTTCGGAAAAATTTAATTTTTATCTTAAAGTTTCGATCAATAACATCAAAATCGAAATTTGATCTGAAATCAGAAAACATCGATCGTACCGTTCCCGATTTCATAAGGATCAACAAATGAAAGGTAACCCAGTAACATCCGAAAAAGTTCCGTAATAATGGACAGACTTTATGATCAGAAACATAAGAAATAATCCTGTCAAAAATCGCGGAATTTTTTCGAGTGTTACTGGGCTAATATTTCCGATGAGAATTCGCATTTATTGGCTTTTTTAATATCAGTCATTTTTAAGGTTTACAAAATAAAATAATGTAAAAATTTTTAAATATTTATTTAAATAATTTTATAATTTAACATTAATAATTTAATTTTTATAATACATTTAAATATAAACTAATTTGTTCTGTGGCGGGCTTGCTTACTCGGAATCACTTGCATTTTTTTTTTTTTTTTTAATGATCATCCCTTTTTCTCGGCGCTAACTGCATGGACTCCAACTTAATAGCGGACATACATACAAAACGTGAAGTTTGGTTTTGGTCCGGTATAATACATACATACGTATTTAACTATATACATTCTTACATCAACACGTTCCTCGACGCTATTAGCATATTTGGTGCCGGATTTTTCATAATCAAACTTTATTGTTTTAACCTTTTGGGACAAACTTCTTCATTAATCTCTTGATTCTGCGAAGAAGTAATTCTTTCCAAGAATTTTTCAAAATTGTTTCTAAAAGTTTCGGTAATGTCTGTATTATTATTTACAAGAGTTTGCAAATCTTCTAATAATCTAATCCATCCACTTCTATCTGGATGTTCTGGTTGTTCATTCATGTCGGTATACTTTCTCTTATTATTTTCATTATTGTCAATTTCTGGTCTGTTATATTCATAATCTATTTTATATGAATTGCATTTTAATTCTAGACCAAATAAGTTTGGCAAACTAATTTCAAATAAAGGCCTTATTATCTCCTCATTGTTTACCAATGTTAAATATTGTAAATAATTTGCTTTAAATGGAATTCTTTCATTACAAAATTCGAGGTAAATTGAACAAATAGCATTAAAAGCACATCTAGTAAGATGATCAGGAATTTCTCTTTCAAGAATTTCTTGTGATTTTAAATCTATCCATATTCTTGATTCCATAATATCCTCGAAACATTTTTGGGTAGCTTCGGAATTAGGTCCGAATTTTTTTAATATCCAATAATATAGATTCGAATGTACTGATAAAGACCTTATTTTTATCTTTTTTATTGAAAAAGTATTATATCTAAATCCAACTTTGTAACATTCCAAAGCATTTTTCATAGCTTGTTCAGGTTGATCAATTCTATCATTCAAAAATTCTAATAAATCAGTTTTTCTATGACTTCTCTCCGGCTTAATAGCTTGAATGAGACATAAACTAGCAATAGCAGATTTTGATTTTTTCTTATGAATAATCTGAAACGATTCAAGCAAAACATCTCCAATTTCATTTAATTTATGTTCAAATAAATGAAGTGCTTCTTCCATGACAGAAGCAGTTAACTTAAATCCAAGATTAATGAGTTGTTTTAAGCGTTTCACAACAATCTTTGTATCAGGACGTTCCCAATCAGCAGGAGGGGTCGGTGGGAATAAAATTAATAGTGCCCCTTGCATCACGAGGTCGTTAACATCACTACAAATTTCATAATATCCAATTTCTTTCCATAAAGTTACTAAATCGGGATATATCAAGATCGCCCGAGCTATAACATTGAGTTGACGACTATTTTCGTAACCATCTTTTGGAGGATATTCTTCATGAGCCCTCGATTGCATTAATTGAATATATTCCACCGTATCTTCATGAGCCGGTTTTGGTCGCGGTGGAAATGGTACGAATTTTTTATTTATTATTAAATCTTTAATATCAGCAAGATTTTGAAATAATTTTTGAGGTGCTTGATTAATTACTAAAGGGCCAGCTGATAAGAAATGAAATAATTCCATATCATTTCCTTTGATCACGAGATTTTCATCGTTTAAAATATTATAACCCGCAGTAATCAATTTTGTAAAAATTGGTAAGGGCAAATTGGATGCCCATGGAGAACTTAATTTTTTTTGAAAGGCTCGAATTCTATCAAAATCGACTTGATTTACATTATGCTCAATTTTGAGTTCAATCAACTTTTCATCATATGGTCCGAAATGCATCAATAGACGCTGTATGAAATATCTTGAAATTATTGCATTTTTACTTAGCAAAGAATGTAATACTTCACTTGTTAAAAAGCTGTTCCCAAGTCTTACTGCGTGGAACAGTGCATGAGCATGACCGTACTTAAAAATGAGCCAATCAGCGCGAGACTGCGGATCTTGCGAAATAGCATACCACTTCTTATTAGTGAGAGCTAGTGAAATTGGTGTATCTACAAATTTGAATATTTCGATTCTTAACTCGTTGTAAAGAGACTCCATGTTTTTTTTTTTTTGTGGAAGTGTTTCGATAAAAATTGGGACTTATATAATTGATCGGAAGGGGCGGAGTGTGATCATCATGTACAAATTGTACAAATTTTTTTTTTTTATACATCATTCAGAAATCCCAAAAAGGGGAACCAATAAGTTCATTCGGTGTATGTAAATTTTTACTCCAAATGTATAAAAAAAAGGTAAGCCATCCCGCTATTATTTAATTATTTAAAAAGCTTTAATTATTTCTCTTGAGGATAGTGAACAAATTTTATGACAATTAAATGATCAACAAATTATCTCGTATATATAAAAATTTTTTTTAAGGCAAATTTTCTTCTTGTTAAATATATGTTAACATTAAACATTTTTGTATTGAACTTCTTAATCTTTAAAATATAATAATATTAAATTATTAATTAAAATTCGTATTATTCAATCCGGAATTAATTTTGCTGAATTGTGATTAGTTTCATTCAATCCTTTCAAACATGGCCAAATTTGGTCACATTTCAATGTAAATAAATGTAACACAACCCCATAGTCCCTTATTAGCTTTGAAAAAATTTTTGTGTAATTATTAAAAAATAAGCCATAATTAATCTATGCAGTTATTTACGACCAGTTCATTCATTCATTCGTTTTGATTGTTGTTTGTAGCAGTTATTCATTGTTGTCCCATATGATTATCTATATCCTTTCATAAGCGAGTTTGTCCGTTTTTTATAAAAAATGAATGATGATTAGTACTTGAATGCCAAATGTTTACAAATAGAGAAATAAAAAATAAATATTTGGTATAACAGTTTCTTTTATTAGTAGTATCTTTATTTACTGACTTTTTAATTAATTACATATTATTCCTATACACAAAGTTACAAGAAACTTTAGCAAGATCAAAGAAATTATAAGGAAGCTTATTGTGCTTATTGTCGATGCAGGTTATTAAAAAATTTTTATATTTTAAAATTTTTGAATTCTAATCAGAAATTCCGATGGTGTTATTAATAATACTATATAAGTAATTATTCAACAAGAATCTATTGTTTTAAAAAGGAGAACCAGTTATTCTCTGCATTAATAAAAGCTTAATTTTTAGTACCCGAGGTAATAACTAAGAAGGATATCGTAATATTTATATAATTGCATAATATGACTCCGTATCTAGTGATTTATTTAGCTGGGGAGAAATTGTACATAAGGAGAATTATACAAGGCGCTAATTAACTTTATCGGTCTTACTCCGCATATTGTACGCATATCCATACGTATATATATAAAACGATAAATGATGATTCTTTATTGTCTTAGATTATTATGGTTTGAATTGTTTAATAAAAAAGGAAAGAGCTTAAACGAAATAAACATTTTTTAAGTAAAATTTTCGATTTAATCTATTAATCTTATATGAGATAAAAATATTATGCTTTTTTTATTAATCGAAAAAATTATAACTATCGTAAATTTTATTAACGTTATTAACATGGCATTTTTGGTAGGTTAGTTTGTAAAACTGTAAAGTTTGTTCGCTAAATCCTTGTTTCCCAAAATTGGAAATAATCTGCGATGTAACATTTATTTTTATTTCTCTTTCTTAGAATTTCCTTTTGTAGTTACAGTAAATTCCGTGACGCCATTTTTGATTACACATAATTAGTTACAGTTTTTTTATGATTTTCCTTCTTTGATCTTATTTATTCATTTTGAAAATCGCTTTGTTGTGATTTCCTAATTTTGTTGATTAAAGTTTGCTACAGTTTTGTGTATCATTTGAATAACACGTTGATCTTTCAATTTCGACAAAAGAATCTAGATTAAATAAATAATGTAATGAAAGACAAATATTGATCATGTGGTCGTTCAATCAGTATTTTTGTAAAATGTTTATTTGTTATTATATAACATGATTAAGCTATTAAACAAAATAATAAGCTTACTTTGAAAAATTCACCATATTTGATCAAATTATATTTTTAGGAAACATTATCCATAATAATAAAGCTTAATTAAAAAAAACGAAAAATAAAAGGAATATTTTCTATCTTATCAAATTTCTTCAATGTAAAATGAAACAAATTAAGTAATAAAGTTATTATGTTTTAATCAATTTTATAAATTAATATTTTGGTGTAATTAAAGATTCCGGAAATTAACCTTACTTTATTAATTCAAAAATGGAAAAAAAATGGAAAAAATTAATTTTTTTTTTTCTTTCCCTTCTTATTTTCCTTTTTTTAAAAAACATACATACAAGGTATTATTGTGGACTTATAATTAAGACGAAATGTGGTGGTCAATGTTTGGTTTTACCGTATTTAATTTCGGTATCACCATCTGCTGCGCCAAGCCCAAAATACTTTTAATTTTTACCTTTCGCTTTGTACCGATAAAGAATCGAATAAAAATGTCATTATTCATATTACATATTTTTTTTTTATAATCTAACATTAAGAAATGGGCATCTGACAGGGGAATGATGCAACAACGCATATTTTCTCTTTCATAAGGAAAGCTTCAATATTATAACAAAGAAAATAATCAAAGATCTACACATGTTAAAAATAGTATACGCCACAATGACAGAAATTACCTCGATTGAATGTAAAATTTTTGAAAATTGNAAATTTTGAAAATTTTGGTAACTTATTGAGAGTAAAAAAAAAATATGAATGAATATTATTATTATAATATCAAGTTTTGTTTTTTTTTTTTTTTTGAATGAATACTTAAATAGAAATAAGTTACCAAGAAAATTCATCATGTTATTCATGCTTCGTCTACAAACTTTGTTCGATTAATATTTTTATGGTAATGATGAAAATAATGTTATAGATATCTCATTACGTATTATTATGCATATTATAACGGTAACTTTGTTTGTTTACTTTTTCTTTCTTTTAACTCCGTCTTCAGTTATTAAACAAAACAAAATAGGAAGGAAGGAAATGAGACAAAAAAAGAAACTTCTTTTTTTTTTGTTTCATTTGAAACCACTTAAAAGGATAATTCCAAACTTTTACAAAGTTTGCATGAAATTCACTTTATAGATTCGTTCTAAAGCAAATAAAAGGAAAGGAGAGTTATCATAATCTGTGCGCGCACATTCTGAAATGGATAAGAACGACTTTACAATAACATGCCATTCCTTGCATGCATTTACTTATAATTTCGTTTAAAAGTAGAAAAAAAGGAAAAAATAACATATCCGTGCGGTGCATCATGCATTTGGATCATTAAAGTATCTCCTTTAAGTAAGTGAAGTTTTTAGTGAGCGACATTTATAGTGCAAAAAATGGAATAATAGGATTTCTACATATAACAGATAATATTTTCATATTTTACCTTTTCAACTAGCGACCGATGTCCGGTAATTATCAATATCTCAGCAATGAAATTTGAACGAAAAAATTATTCACATTGTAATAGGCAAGTATCCTAATTTTTTTTTTTTTTTAAAAAAAAAATACTAATGTTTCAATTTTCGAAATCCAATATTTTAGAAGCGTTACGGTGACTATAGTTTGAATTCTCAATGTTCCTATTATTTATATTGCTATCGGATAAATTGTGAAAATGATCAAGAAAAAATAATCAAACGCCAGTATCAATAAGGTAAAAATTTCTTCTACTTTAGATTCCTTTAATTTTTAAGTTTCGGACGGAACAGCTGTAATTCTATAATTTGTAATGACATACTACTATTTATTACCTTCAGAGTCAAGATAGTCGCCAACGAACCGTACATCCTATTACTCTGACGAAATTAATCTATGTTACGCGAACTATAAAATTAGTGTGTTTAATATGAACAATACAAATATTTCCAAAGGCTCTTTTCGACATCATTTGCTAAAGGTGAATACGCATTTTTTTTTTTGTTCTATTTATCAAGAGTATTCTATATATTGTAAAAACAGATAATTCCTCAGAAATATTCAAGATTTTAAAAAATTGATATCATTTGGAACATCGACTAATAATACTCTTTTATCATTTTTTAGTTCTGAGAATAAATTATATAATTTGAAATTGCTTTAGGGCATTTTCTATATTAAAAAATTTTCCCGGCAGACGGCTTTCTGTATTTTTTTTTTTCCAACCATATCAATGGTTTAACATTAATAAAAGCATTAAAAAATTATGACTGTACATTTTAGATTCTCGTAAAAATTTTAATAAAATAATGAGGATAAACAATACGCTGTCTCTTATACACATCTAGATGTGTATAAGATCAATGGTTTAACATTAATAAAAGCATTAAAAAATTATGACTGTACATTTTAGATTCTCGTAAAAATTTTAATAAAATAATGAGGATAAACCTGTCTCTTATACACATCTAGATGTGTATAAGAGACAGCATTAATAAAAGTATTAAAAATTATGACAATACATTTTGTCAAATTAATAACTGAAAATTTTTTAGATTCTCGTAAAAATTTTAATAAAAATAATGAGGATCGTGCAAATAATCCATATAACCTGTCTCTTATACACATCTAGATGTGTATAAGAGACAGGGACTAGATCATTCACTACTGCCAAGTATACTTAACACCACCGATCTTCATGCAACGAAAAAAGAATATTTGAGCTGATATGCAAATAAAATTGAAATTTCCGAAGGTAATTATGTGAAAGTGATGACGAGAATAAAAATCATCCTTCAAAGAAGATGGTTCAATTCTCAATACTTGGAAAAATTTACCGTATGATGCTGGCCGCAGTACTCTCATATATAGTATTCCCCTCTTTTATCTGGAAAAAATCTCCATTTTCTTCCCCATAAAAACGAAATTTGTTAAATTTGTCTTATACTTGTGCTCATGTGTAATAAATGTCTAAAAAACGCCATTTTGTTTAATTTTTGTTTTTTTTGTAATGACATAAATCGGACAAAATGGTGCTTTTTAGACGTGAACACGAATATATCACACATTTTATTTTTATAGGGCTTTAA